TTATCCTTTTTTAGTAGTTAATTGTCGGTGAAATGTACTGTCGGTGAAATGATTGTCGATGAAATAATACGGACCCGCAAGTTTATTAGTATTTGGGTTGCTTTTGATTTGCTCACATACCAACATTTCGCGCATATCAGTCGAAGATTTAAGTATACTTATTTTTATGCAAATATCGAAATATTGTTACCCTAATAGCATTAACATGGAAAGGTTAATCAACGCTCAAAAAAATGGCTTAATTTTATGGCAAATAATTATCACTGAAATTCGCTTTATAATCGAAACTTTAACTGTTTAATGCATTTAAATAAGCCAACTTCTTTGTTATAAACCTGTCGATTTATGAAAAAGATTGGAATCGTGATGTCGGGCTAGCATATACAGTATTGCACTGAATTACGGAAAAAGGCTTTATGTATACAGTACATTAATAATAACAATGTGACGTCGTTGGTTATCATATTCAAGATGTCTGGCGATTGAGATTGGGAATTATTTTTATTCTACTTAACAAACGCATAATAACTGCGAGCAGCTAATACCCTATCAGTTTATGACCAGACTGACACAAAGTTGTTAAAATTATTTGCGATAAATTAATGCTAGAAGGAAGGAAAAAAATTATAACAAAAGAATCTAAATTATTGAACGACAAAGCGGATACAGTCATCTTGAGCACCTCGTTGGGCAACAGGCATTACCAAAGGTTGATGTGAAAAGCTACCAGACATTGTACAAAGTCTCTTCAATCCAGGCGAAAGACCCTCAGTGACAGTGACTGATAACGATCCTTTATCAGCTTCCCCGTTCAGACCTAGGAAGAAGTCAATTTTCTCGGCATTTGGAGGCTTCTTACCGTTGCCTAAATCTTGAATAGTAACGTGAGAATGTCCCTTGATAATACCTTTTTTGTTCAATTGCTGACCGAAGATATTGTATTGAGTAGCGGGATTGTCAAAATTCCCGAGATCGATATTGCTCATCAAGATTTTGATCTGGAATGGTTTCTTGGCTTTTATTCGCTGACCATTTTCGGGCTGAACAATGATAGTCGAAGTCATTTTTGTAATATCCGGAACTTCACCCAATTGAGCTTCTACGCAGGTACGGCCTTTAGGACCAGGCGTCTTGTTCTGAGTGCCATCAGCTTTGGTAAGCTTGGATTTTTTGCAGATCTCAAAAGATGGTTTACCAGACAGAGTGTCTTTTGCAAATTCCTTTATGTCTGTAAAGGCGGGGGCCTTGATTTGAAATTATTGAAAATTAAATGAGTCTACCGTGGACCTGATTTTTGGGTGTTCTTTTTGGGTGATCGGATTTTGTTGATACTTACTCTTTTGTTCAAGTCCTTTTTTCTTCCAACCGAAACATCAGTCACAGGCGTTCCAAAAGCCGTAAGGCTCAGTGTCGCCAATAAAAAAACAATGCTAGCGTTGATTTTCATCTTGAAGATAAATAGACGGTAATTTGTAGCGAGGTAGAGAGTAAGTATTAAAGAAGGTGATAAACAGTTGGATTCTATGGAAACGTATTCTCTCTCAACAAATGAGTTTGCGCAGGGTGAGAGCAAAAATTTGACTTTAGGGAAAGTAATTGTGGATGGGAGCTGTTTATATACTGAAAGGCGTATAAAGAAAGATTGATATAATATGGATCTCACCAATCGTCCGAAGCACCAACCTGGCCTTCTGACTTGAAAAGTTAAAAGTACAAAATTTACCATCGCCAATAATTCGAGACGCCATTTGCACATCACCATCCATGCGACCAACTAATCGACGAATGAATAAAGGATTAAATCGGTTAGATTTACAGGCTTAATGCTATTGTATGCAGGCTAAGATTACAAGTTGATCTGCAGAAAAAGCTGCGGCTGTTACAGTATAACAAGTAGTTTTCTCCGTGTTTCGATTAGTAACATTGTTGGGTTTTTCCTTTCGCATCGCATCATCGAACGCTCATGCAATTACGTGACAAAAGTTTTGCTCATGTGAGTTGTTGATTATGTATCGCTGTTACTATAATCCCGTAATTAAGATAACCATAAATTAGAAATAGTGTCATTTTAGAATTTCAATACTTTTTGTTGAATATTAGATATCATTAGAATCTTTTAATAATAGCTCATTGACGGAGATAAGATGTCTCATTGTTTTTAAATATTTATTCTTTCTGTTTATTAAAAAAGTTACGGTCCAACGAAACATTCAAATCGAGTAATGTTTCAACCGCATTGTCTGTAAACTTATAGAGGCTTTTTCACCATAAAACGTTCGGAGCCAACTAATTCCGATCGTCTTGTCATCCCAGTTATGGAGCACCGTTTCCGTGTCAAGGCTTTTACAAATAGGCAGATCTCTGTATTGTGTTTGATATGTTGTCGCATCATACACTGTATCTACAGTATATCAATTGAATTTGGAAATTACAAATCCAAATTTGGTAAAGCATAGCAAGAAGAGGGGGGAATACCATCTAGCCATTTGGTAAAAATCTCCTTTTAAGAATATGCAATTGGTGATGATTTAATATTTCACGGAATAAACTTTGTCTGATCGGCAAATATGATTTGTGCTACCAAATGTGATTATTACCTTTCTTGTCATATAACTGATTCCAAAATGGAGTAAATCCTCTGTGTTCCATATGTAAACCTTTTTTCGTATTAATGCACGCTATATATTATATTATGAAACGAAGGAGATTAAGATGAATTAGTGATTACATATACAAGAAATACAACGTAAAATGGTTTCACGACGCGCGTAAAAAGAGATACAGTCAAACCTCTTTATACCGATACAAGTGGCACCGGCTGTTTTTATTGGTATAACCAGTTTATCGGTATAATCAGAGACTCTTTATAGCGATATTGTTTATGAAAACTTCATTATATCGGTATAACAAATTAAACAATAATCGTATCTACTTTGAAATTAAAATCTTTATTTCATCACATACTTATGAGTTATATCGCAGTTGAATACGTCTCGGCGATCGTAGTTACTTATCATGTCATGCAATTTGCACGTTCTTCTTCGAGACTTTCTCGAGGAGCACTGTTCCCTTCACCGGATTTTAAGCATTATTGTACATTATAACGACGTCTAAACCTGACATCCAGCCAGCCGACCCTGTAAAATGTTCAATATCAAATAGAACAGCAAAATTAAAATCCTTTGTCTTCTGCTTGAGAATGTCAGTAGTGATAGTAATATTGTTGCCAACTGCTAGATTAAGCCAGATAGCTAATGCAGATTCAATCTGAGGATACGATTCTTCTTTTCTTAGATGAAAGTGTATCATGATCGATGGAAAGCCATTAATCTTTATTCATCAAACATCAGAAGTCGTATTTTGCGCGACGCCATACTGCTCCGCCAAGATGCTTTGTTTAGGTTGTGGTTTCTGCATCAACGCAAGGCATATATCTCTTTCTTCTGAAGTGTCGTCAGTGAGCCTTTTTGTTTTCTTGTGGTTTTTGATGTAATATTATCTTTATTCTTTCGTTTCATGGTATATCAGTGCTACATGGAATTATAGATTTAACTAGTAACATTATAAGAAAATTGAAAATTGTCCAGATAAATCATATCGCACTTTACTTTGTAATGATAATTCTAAATATTGCCAAGCTAATTGGTTTTTAAAATAGGGTTTCAACTCTTAATATAAATCGACCGCTGATATTACGTTGTTATATATTGTACATTACAATTTATAATATACTCATACGTATAGCCAACCGTTTTTGTTTACGAAAAAAAGAGCACAAACGTTAAGATTTTATACTACTACTGATAAGATGACCGAAAATATTACAAGCAGAAAGTTATCTGCTATTTTAACAAGTTAGAAAACCTGTACAGTTACGCGTTACAAGGATTTACAATGACTTAGAAAGAAATAACTACACAGCACACACACGTATACCATTCGAAATAATATACATAAGCTTAGAAGTGTTTCAGATTTTTGAACAGAATTCGTACAAAGCCAAACCAAAAACATCTAATTACTTAATAAAACTATGAGTATGTAAATGTCGTATGTGAATTGACGACGATTTCCTAAAAGGTTTGTGTATTTCAATCAACCAATTTAATAGCAACAGTCACTGCTTGCTGCAAGCATTGTACGTTGTAATATGAAACACAGTGTAATCGATTATCAGATAACGAGATCAATCCTTTGAGATATTAATAGTCTGTTAAGATAATAAAACCGATCATAACAAGGACGTTCCTACAACGATTATAACATTAGCAAAAAATGACAATGGTTACGATTAATTTTGAGATACAAATACCATGCTAAGGCAATTCACTGACAACAAAGAGGTTAGTCCTTATATGTAACATCAAAAGAAGGTAGAAACTTGTATGACGACAACTTTCATATTCAGTGCTAGCTACATATTAATAAGTAAATTTACTTTACGATGATAGTAATCGCAAAGCTACAGTATGTAACTCATATTACAATGTACATGCTCGCAGCAGTGACGGTTGTTATTAAATTGTTTGATTGAGATAAGCAAAAAGTTGACGAGATTTATGTACGACATAAATAGCAGAATCGCCTGTCCAATTTACACTGTAAAGACCTCATAGAAAATATAACAATATTTAGCAGAGAAAAAAGCGTAAGTTTTGCTAGTATAATCTATCGACTTGACCTGTTTGTCTTTGTCAATAATATTCGTGTTTTGTACTAAAAAAGTCATAGAAAGGCTTGAAATTAATATGACTTAAGTCAAGAATTTAGTTTCATCAAGCGCACTAAGTATGCAGGAAGCGCAGCACAATTATACTGTTTATTGTCAAGTGCGTAATCGTAAGCACATGTGTTAATACTCCAAGTTGCATTGCTCTAATAAAAAGTAACGGGATAAATAAAGACAACTGTTACTCGTCACGGGAGCGCTAAAATAATTTGATTTTGGGAGGTGAGTGACTCGAACCCCCAACCTGTATATGTTGATGACAAAGTTCGTTGCATAAGAGTGACGTTTTTGCAAGTCAAGCATATAGAACTGCCCCGACCGCTCCTTGAATTGATCAAGTAACCAAACTGTTGAGAAGGCCTAAACTGTAGGCTATTACTGTTTCCAATTAATTAAAACGAGCATGGTATTATTGAGCCTTTTCGGTTTTCTTTTATATTACGCATTATTTTTTTCTGTTTCTTTATTTACCGTTGCAAATTATCTCATGGTGCAAGAAAATAACCCAAATTGCTATGCATTCGCTGTTTTTTTATCACCTTAGTCTTCCTGTGAAAAGTTAGGGAATTTCTTATTACCAGTTCAGTGCAGGAAAGACGATTTTACAAGTCTTTCTAAAATCTGAGTAGAACGGGTTTGAAGGGTACATGTAGAGTAATATTAATTGTTGTGAGACGAAGTTGAGCAAGTATAACATTAATACTACATATTCTTCATGTATAACTTTCAATCAAAGCCAAGAGTTATCCGCTTCACAAAATTAAATATCGTAGCTAATACTAAAAGCAAAACTACTCGGAATGAGCACCTATTTTGGGCGGCTCGTTTATTAAGATTTTGTACCGTTGACTATTATTTTGGGGACCGGTTTTTCAATTTCACCGACAGTATGTTGGTTTCACCGGCATAAATTTCATCGAAAACCAATGATAAGTGCGATAAACAATGTGTCACGTGAAATGACTGTCGGTGAAGTGTACTGTCGGTGATGAAATAAATGCTCCCATTATTTTGTGCTACTTATCTTCCAATCAGTTGAAACTATCATTCTCGGCAAACATAGATGGCCATTTAGCAATTAAAAATAATTCATAAAGCAAACTTATGTAAAGAGAACTATTGAAATGTTTACTAAATTCTTATTATTATTGTCGCTTTGGTTTTTATACATATTAATATTCGGCATAATCTGTCTGCGCCTCATAAGATGGTTTTACGCCGAGCTGTGTTACAACGTCAACGTATCACACATGTGACTTATTAAATATCCGTCATTCACAGATTGTGCTGCTCCTTAAACTGTTCCTTATGAGTGAATTATTTGATTTGTCTTCAAGCGTTTTATCGGATTTTGAGAAGGTTTATGAAACCGGCAAACATACGGATATTTCAATCAATGTTGGAAAGGAGCCGAATAATAAATTATTTGCAGCCCACACATTGGTTCTGTGTATACGAAGCGTATATTTCGAGAACGAACTAAGTGGGAATGCAGAAGATTTCAGCGAAGTTCAACAAACAACCATGAATTTAGAGGATATAACTCCCAATATCTTTGAAATGTTGCTTAGGTAAACATTCTTGCTTAGACACTTGAACAAACTGTTAATACAAATACTTACAAACGTTATGTTACTTCTAGATTCATTTACACTGGGAAAGTATCCCACAAATCATGCGTAGGTCTAAACTGGATTACTCTTTTGGAAGGAGCTAGC